CTCCCTCCTTTCTAAATCAACATAGCTTTTTTGTCGATCTTGGGCTTCCTTTATCTTCTCTTGGATCAATTTCACTTGTTTCACCATATCTTCAATCATTTTAGGCCCAATTACCATTGTCTCACTTATATTACTCCAACAAACTAGGCTTCTACACTTCCGACCATACAAAGCTTTAAATGGTGCCATTCAAATGCTTGCATGATAGCTGTTGTTGTAAGAAAACTCTATCAAATTCAAGTGATCTTCCCAAGACCCTTGATACGAATCCATCACACATGCTCTTAACATATCCTCCAATGTCTGAATGGTCTTCAGTTTGACCATCCGTCGCAGGGTGAAATGTTGTGCTCATTAACAACTTCGTTTCCATCGCCTTTTGCAAACTTTGCCAAAAGTTAGACAGGAATCTTGAATCTCTATCCGAAATGATATCCGTGGGTACCCCATGGTATTTCACCACAAACTTCACATAAGCTCTTCCCAATTGATCCATAGTCCAAGTACTTCTCATGGGTATAAATGCTACTGATTTCGTCAACCTGCCCACTATTACCCAAATAGTGTCATTCCCTGCCTTGGTCTTAGGCAACGCTCCAGCAAAATTCATAGAAATCGAATCCCACTTCCACTTTGGCACTTCCAAGGATGGGACCTTTTCTTGAGGCCTACGATGCTCAATCTTCACTTTCTGACATGTCAAACACTTGGCCACAAATTCAGCTACTTCTCTTTTCTTATTGGGCCACCAAAAAGTCTTCTTCATGTCCTTATATAACTTATCCCCTTCAGGATGCATTGAATAAGGAGAATTATGGGCTTCCTCCATTAATTTCTGCTTCAAATCTCCACGACTCTGCGGTACGCACCATCTTCCCTTAAAACGAATACTTCCTTCATCACCAATGGTGAAGTCCAACACCTTACCTTCATCGATCTTTTTATTTATCACCTTTAACTTCTCATCTTCCAGTTGACTTTCCCTTATCTCATCATAAATGGATGGTTGAATCACCAATGCATTCAACATCCTAGTCACTTCTCCAAGTTCCATCACTTCCAAATTCAACTTCTGAAATTCTACACACAACTGGTCTGGCACTACCATTACATTCATTGAATGTTCTGACTTCTTGCTTAAAGCATCTGCCACCACATTAGCTTTTCCCTCATGGCATTGAATATCCAACGTATAATCACTTAGAAACTCCAACCATCTTCTCTGCCTTCCATTCAAATGCTTTTGGGTGAAAATGTACTTTAAACTCTTATGATCCGTGAAAATCCTACAAGCCACCCCATACAAATAATGCCTCCAAATCTTCAAAGCAAACACTATTGCAGCTAACTCCAAATCATGGGTTGGATAATTCCCTTCGTGAGGTTTCAACTGCCTTGAAGCATACACAATCACTCTTTGACTTTGCATCAAAACACATCCCAGTCCAAACCTCAATGCATCACTATACACTTCATATAAATTACTTCCATCAGGAAAAGCCAGCATAGGTGATGTGGTTAACCTTTCTTTCAAGGTCTGAAACGCCTCCTCACACTCTTTAGTCCATGAAAACTTATGCTCCTTTTTCATCAAACTTGTCATGGGCTTCACAATCCTTGAAAAATCATTCACAAACCTTCGGTAATAGCCTGTCAAACCCAAGAAACTTCTCACATCCGACTTTTTCTTTGGGGTTGGCCAATCACTAACAGCTCGAATCTTACTTGGGTCCACTGAGACTCCTTCCTTGGAAATCACATGGCCCAAAAATGCCACTTTTTCCAACCAAAACTCACACTTTGACAGCTTGGCATACAACTGGTGCTTTCTTAAACATGACAACACTTGTCTCAAATGCTCCTTATGGTCCTATTCATCCTTTGAATAAATCAAGATATCATCAATAAACACCACTACAAACTTGTCCAAGTATGGCCTAAAAATCCTATGCAGCAAATCCATGAACACTGCTGGTGCATTGGTCAAACCAAACGGCATAACTGTGAACTTATAATGACCATAACGAGTCCTGAAAGCACTCTTTGCAATATCTTGCTCCGCAGTTCTCAACTAGTGATAACCTGATCTCAAGTCTATCTTAGAAAATACTCGATCTAGCCCCTTTCAACTGGTCAAACAAATCATCGATCCTTGGTAATGGATACTTATTCTTCACTGTCACTTTATTCAACTCTCGATAATCAATACACAACCTCATACTTGGCATTCCAGTTTTTTGTTAAGTGTCGAGCCACATAGGCGACAAATAGATATTATTGTGACACATATGATTCTAAGTAAGCAATTTTTGGATAGATTTTTTAAGATAAAATTGTTGCATAGAGTTTTATTATCGATAAAATTCTAATATTTCATATATACAAAATTAATCATCACTTTCAATAAATATCCTATAACTCAATTCTAATTCCATCATTAAATTCGTATTAAAAAGTTCTTTAAAATAAGATCCATTTATAAACTATTTAATCACAAACTTTTATACGTAACTGGCCAAACCATGTCACCACTATTACAAGATCAGAGTTACTTCATTAGTGTTATAGGGGTTACTTGGTCAGTGTTATAGTGGTTACTTAATCAGTGTTATAGACAAGGGTTACTTAGTCAGTGTTAGAGGTTACTCAGTTAGTATTATAGGGGTTACTCGATTGGTTTTATAGGGGTTACTTTGTCATGCCAGATGGTGTGGTTAGTCGCATACAAAATGCATTGTTATTTAATTTATTTAAAAAAAATAGAGAATTAGTAAAATAAGTTTTAATCAAAAATATTTTTAGTCTAGTAAAATACTTTCAGTTCTGTGAAAATATTTTAAGTTCAATAAGAACAATTTCAAGTCAATAATAACATGGATATTTATTATTTATAAACTAGACTACACAAAGTACACTCCATATGATATCGTATGTCTAAATATCCTACATTACCATAACAAATAATTTTGTATTTAACATTCAAGTAAAAATGTTGTCTTAAAATTTTATCAACCATCTGGGCATCGCCCGGACACAAAACTAGTCACTAATAAATAAAGTCGGTCTAGCCAGGCCACGAGACAGCGACATTTGGCATTCCATTTTTTCGCCAAATGTCGCGCCATGTAGGCGACAAATAGGTATTATTGTGACACATTACAGGGGTTACTTGGTCATTTTTATAGGAGTTACTTTAATAGTGTGGCTAGCCGCATACAAGATGCATTGTTATTTAATTTATTTAAAAAATATATTAGAGAATCAGTAAAAATAAGTTTTAATCAGTAAAAATGATTTTAGTTTGGTAAAAATACTTTCAGTTAAGTGAAATTAATTTAAGTTTAATAAAAATAATTTCAAGTCGATAATAACATAGACATTTATTTAAAAACAAAACTACAAAAAGCATACTATTATATAAATATAAGCCATATGATATCGTATGTCTAAATATCCTACATTATCAGAACGAATTATTTGACCGTATTTAACATTCAAGTAAAAATGTTATCTTATCAACCTTTTGGGCATCGCCCGGGCACAAAACTTGGCACTCCAGTTTTTCGACAAGTGTCACGCCACGTAGGCAAAAAAATAGATATTATTGTGACACGTATGATAGTAAGTAAGTGAATTCTTGGATAGATTTTTTAAAGATAAAATTGTTGTATAGAGTTTTATTATCACTATACTTCTAATATTTCATAAATACAAAATTAATCATAACTTTAAATAAATATCGTATAACTTGATTTTATTTTCATCATAAATTCGTTTCAAAAAGTTCTTTAAAATAAGATCCATTTTATAATATATTTAATTTATAAAAAAAATAATAGATAATCAGTAAAAATAATTTTGGTTTGGTTAAAATACTTTCGGTTCAGTAAAAATAATTTAAGTTCAACAACAATAATTTCAAGTCAATTATAACATAGATATCCATTTACAAACAAAACTACAAAAAGTAAACTATTATATGATATCGTATGTTTAAATATCTAGCATTATCAAAAGGATTATATGTCCATATTTAACATTCAAGCCAAGAGTTTATTCTTAAATTTTATCAACAATCTAGGCATCGCCCGAACATAAAACTAGTATATATATATAAAGGGGAGTTTTTTTTCCAAGATTTTAGATAGCCTCATAGGATTTTGATTTTTTTAAAATTATTAGAGCGCATGTAGAATTAGTATTTTTAGAGCGTTACGTGTAAGATTATGCCACGTAGGATTATTATTTTAAAGCGCCACGTAAGATTAAAATTAAAGGTTTAAATTTATTATAAAAATAAAATACTATCTTTTTAAATTGGAAATTTTATCTAAGTAAAAAGAAACAATTTATTTTATTTCGCGTGTATAAAAAAAATAATTATTAAACTTAAAAAATGAAAACGTTCATTTGATATTTAAGAAAAAAAAATGGATTAAATAAAAAAATAATGAAAATATGAAAAGTGATTGAAAAAAAAAAAAAACTTATCCATGACCTGTTTACATTAGAACCATATCATGTCAAGTTTAAAATTAATTTCAAAGCAATTAAAGGTTTATTCATGTGCACCAAAAAAAAAAAAAAAAAAAAAAAGGTTATATAAAATTGTTTAAAAGTTATCCTAAAACTTTTTGATGTAAGCTATTATTGTTGTGTAGTTACTATAATAACTGAGTCCTTGACTCCTTGGAATAGTTGTAATTATATTAAGCGCTAATAATTTATAATTTTATCACTATGCGAGTTATTATTATGTGTTATATTGCAACAAGGTTCAACAAGCTAGATATATGTGAATAGTTTAATCTTAATAAATAGAAAAAATGAAATGCCCTTACAATATATACCTGAAATTATCCAAATTGACCCGATCAATAATACAAATGGTCGATAAAATGCCTAGAAAGTTATATAAAAAAGGAATCCTAGTAAGAATTGTAAGATTATACCATGCCTCTTTCATAAATAAAAAAGTGCATGCATTTACAAAGGGCAAATGATAATTTGACTATATACATTATGTTAAAAAGTTAGTATTATGTTACATTATCTGAGGCTGTTGTGTTTGTACACTAGTAGTAATAGTATCAGCAGCATCAACAATTTTGAACCACTGACTACCAGGATCACACTTATTATCATTACTTAAGCACTTGCAAGTAGTAGTAATGAGATTGTTACTAGAATCTACATCTAAACAAACATTACTACTCTTGCTCAATGAAGTTGAGAGATGCAGCTTCGAGTCTGAGATCGTTGCCCATCGCGTTCCTGTCCCAGGACAATTGAGACTTAGTCTTGCAGGGCGGTTCAAACCCTGTGCTTGTAAACAAAAGTATGAACCCTTTATACCGAGGATTTGTTGAGGTGTGTAAGTCCAATGGTTGGATTGTGAACAATCTCCAAGTTGCACCCCTATTGGTGTCATTGGGGTTCTTTGGATGCAAAGTCCTGTTAGTGGATTAAATATGATCTTGTGCTTGTTACGATCTTGAATACCTGGCCCTGCATTTCAGTAATTTTTGTTCAATAAATTTTATAACAAATACAAACCAATTTTAATCGCACGAGTGTAGGATTTGAAAAGTTTCAGATGTATGCATTTATTATAGGCCTACTATTATGTGACAATAAAGCTTATTATTATGCTCTATTCTTTATCGAATTGAATTGTTATTACTAGTCAAAATACTATATCATAGATCAAAAGTTGAATTAATTTTTTTACTTATTACTCTATACTATAATTAATTTATGTTGGAGATTTTTTTCCGAGTTCAGGGATAAGAATAAATTACCTTGAAGAGGAGTTAGGGTAATAGAAATCCTTTCCAAGAAGCTCGAGTTTCGAACTTGAGACCAATCCGAATTTAGCAATCCGTAATACTCATTCATCCCAACCACCCCTTCTCTCAAATAATAACTCCCAACCAAAGTCCAAAATGCATAATCTAAGTCATGTTCAACCACCCAAGCAAGAAAACAATTCAAGTACCTATTGTCATTGTCATTTATGCCCCTTAAGTCTATTCCCCACTCACTCACAAACAAAGGATAGCCTTTATCAAGCAAAAACCCAGATAATCCCATCATGTTGTTCCTCACCCTACTACAAACTTGGTTTGGGTTGCCATCTTTCCATGATTGCCCATCTGTGAAGGCGTACCAATGTGTCTCGAAAACTAACTTCCCGGTGAAACTGAGAGACACCGGTTGTTTCCGAAGGAAGGTGAAGTCTTTGTCGTAGCTTAGGCCGGAGAGGATGACTAGTACATTTGGGTTGGCTCCATGTACTGCTTCTGCTCCTCTTTGCATGTACCTTCATGTGTACAACAAACATTATAAGGAATGAATAGTAATTATAAGATGTATACTACAATTTTGGTGGTTTAGAGTTGATTATGGACCGGATTAAGCTCAAATGATGATTTGGAATAATCAACATTAATTAACTCTTTGATCTTAAATTTGATAATTAAGTAACAAGTACAACTCTACCATTATGCTAAACAATGATACGGAGTAGCGATAGTACACAAGTAACACAAGAGACCTAGCCTATGTAGCCATGTATGTATACGTAAGTAACTAACTCATTTGTTTAACGTACATCAAAGGTTACTACAGTCTACATTATATTTTGGCCGATGTAAGACTAGGCTAGTCAAAATGGAATCAAATATGGACCACTTAAGAATGCTCAAAGGTTACTACAGTACATTTTGGCCGGAGACTAGGCTAGTTAAAATGGAATCGAATACGAACCACTTAAGAATGCTCAAAGGTTACTACGGTATACTTTAACCAGTGTAAGACTAGGCTAGTTGAAATGAAATCGAATATAAACCACTTAAGAATGCGGGTGGTCCATGTTAGATTCCAGGCCGGCCTACTTGCCACCTCTAGAAGTAATAATAAAAATAGCAAAAGCAAAGATGCATGTATGTTGTTCTAGTCTAGAGTTCATACCTATACCAATCGTTGGCATTTTGCTTAGGCCCACGAAGTTCATTCCTTAAACTCATACCAATAACATTTGGATTGTCTTGAAAAAGGGTTGCCATTTTAGTCAAGCCACTTATCCAAAGGTCAGGATTGAAGTATTGGTCACCAAAAAAGCCATTGCCATCTGAGCTACTGCAACACCACCCTGGCTTGCTTAAATGGTTGTCCAAAATTATCATCACATTGTTACTTGTTAGGCTTGCCACCACCGTCTGTATTAATATACACAACCAATTTAAAGATAAAAAAAATACAAAATATATGCAACGGAAGATCCAAAAATCTATTTAATTATTTAATTTTTTCTTTTATTGTAGAGAGATTCGAGAATTTTCACCATAACCAGTTGTATCTTGCAAGATACAATCAATATTATTTATTTGTCCGTGTGCTCATAAGTTACAAATACATTACAAAGAAATAGTCTTGATTATATCATACACAAAGTACAACCAATTATAAATAGATCGAGATTACTAAAAAAACCACAAAGAGTACTTATGTCAATGAAATTTGATCTCAAATATTATGCCTAAAATTTTAACTAACTAATTAAGATATTTGACATACATTATCATATTGCATTAATTCTTATTTCTACTACCTTATCCATAAATATTGACAAGTGGAAGAATAATGGACAAAAGTCATCAATGTCATTAATTAAAGATAAGTCATTGTTGTCCCTTTCATTTTTAATCAAACTTTTTCATGGTGGGATATCATCATATCATCTAGCCTATATTTGAGAGTATAACATAAGAAATTGAATGTAGGAATTGCTCATTTTTAAGAACACCTTTTATGCATAATTTGCATATACTCTGATGAGTCTGATCCCACAAACATACGATTTAACTTATCTTAAGCACAATTTAATTAATTGCACGCAATACTATACTTAATTTATACGGAGAATTTTCATGATTTTCATTCACATATTCCTTTTTTGCTTAAAAGTTGAAAGGGACCATCTACCTGCCTCATTATGTTTTTGCTAATTTATTTTGGGTGCACTAATTCTCTACATAAATTTATATTATGCTGGACTATCAGGTTGAATTTTATAGTTATCACATTAGTAAGTTTAGTTACATTATTGACGTGATTTAAGGTGAAGGATTTATACATATATATAAAAATATTTATGAGAGTCTTTCTCACGTGTTTTTGATAATACTTATATATAGTTATCAAAGTAAGACATAATTTAAGAGAATTTAGCAATGAGGAAAAGATAAAAACAATACCAACTCTATGAGAACAAATGAAGATAACATAGTACTTGAAAGTGTTATTTAGAGATAGGTGGTTAATCAACTACTTACCCACTGTGGGGCCGTGAAGTATATGTGCACCATTTGGCTAATGTTGATAAAGCAAATTGAAAAAGGTTTTCAATTTAAAAAAAAATAAAATAAAATTTAAGGGAATATTATCGTTGACCTGTCATTTTTAAATTATTGATCACATTTTATTTAGGCTAATTTTAAGAAATCGCATTGGACCATTTTTACCAAATTTATATGAAGTACATAAATTGAGCAATAGTACATTAATATGAAGTAATAAATAACACTTAGAGGTTAAAGACTTAAAGTAGTGGTTAGCAAGTTCTAGCAGTACCAACTTATCATTATAAACTTATAATAATATAAAATACTAAAAGATAATCACATAAAGTTTACCAGATATATGAACAAATAAAATATAATAATGGAGTATGTAAAGTTTACCATAAAGTTTACCTGGAAAGCATTGATTAGTGAAAGGTCAACAATGGAGGGATTATTAGCTTGTAACCCAGAAATGGAATCCAAAAGTCCAGCATTAACAAAAGATTGTCTTACAGTAAGAGAAGCCAAGGAATCATTAGTAGCTAAATAAAGAGGCCAAGTTAGCCTAACACAATTAAATCCCATGTCTCTTATATTCTTTGATATAACATCTACTGGCTGATGGGTTAGCCCTTCGGCCACCACCAACTCGAGGTGTGATGCCCAGTTCACGCACGCCAACTTTACTCGCTGCCCCTCCTCGTTTATGATCCATCGTGAATTCGTCGAGAGAGGCAGCGAGTGTGACGCTTCGAGGAGGCTGAGGAGGAGGAGGAGGAGGAGGAAGAGTGGGGAGGAGTTTATACTAAGCAAGAATTTCTTCATATTTGGTTGTTTGTTGAGAATATTGATATTGGATGGTTTATGATCACATAGGATAAGAAGTTAGTTGGATATTTATAGGATGAGAAGATTTGGGATTGTGTTTTAATTTGAGTTGTGAAAGGCAAGAAATATGTAGGGGTGTAGCGTAAGACAATTTTAATACCATGATAAGTAATATAGAATTTTTTTGACAATACTCATAATTAGTTTTGTTTATTTGATGGGATATTTCTGTTCCTTGACTCATTGCATGTGTTATCTTATTGACTTTTAATGTAATCTTTGATGGAATTGAAATAGTATGTCACTTACGGACTAATAAGGGAATTTTAACATTGAATTGGTTCTAAATATAAATCATGTAATTTTGAACAAAATATAGCACCATCAAATCATTTTTTTTTTTTGAAAGAACCATCACATCATTATTAATTGAACCTAAATAATGAAGAATGTCAAGAATCAAATAAGGTATATAACATATTGACAATTGGCATGGTACACTATAAGGGGATGTTTGTTTCATATCTTTAAAATCGATCATATGTAAATTGTTGTAGAAACCTAATATAGAAGATTTTACTATGTAATTTTATTAATCACATTTAAAGTAGATGATTCGTTTGGTAAAATCGTTGAAAATAGGGTATTGAAATTATCAATTTAAATTACTTTTGTAAAAAAAAAAAAAAATGATATTTAGACTACAATTATTTTGTAAAAAACTTTTACCTTTCATTATTTTTGGTATAAGTAGTTTTGTGCTGTGCAGTGCTGAATACTCCGTATATAATTGAGAAACGAAAGTGAATTGTTATAGATAGGGTTCGTTTGAGAATAAGGGTGATTTAGATGTGAATAGCTCTAAGATGGCGTAATATTGACGTCAGTTAATCGCTGCGTTTTAAAGACGCTGCGCTCTTGCATCTTAAACTATAAAACTCCCTCTCGCACTTTCCCTCCTCCTCTGTCCTGTCTTCACTTTCTCTCTCTTCAACACTCAACTCTCCAGTACCATTGCACCACTTCCAGAAAAAATTAGGGTTTTAATTCTTAATCATTTCAACGATCTTCATCGAATTTCGAATCCCTAATTAATAATTTATGTAAGTTCAATTTCATCTTCCCCCCTAATTCTAAGTTTCTTGTTCAATTTCTTCACATTTATTTTGTTTGCTTACATTCAAGGGGGATGATTAATCTGGAAGTACGATGTCCGAAGAATGTTACCGTAATTTCAATCGATCCTAACCCTAGCTGGAACTTCAACAATCTTATGTCGGAATTGAGTTCATTAGAGTCTAAGCTTTACAATAATGGCACTGATTCTTCGTTAAACCCTAAACCTTTCATCAAATCACCAGCTCGGTAATAGTTAATGCTGTTCTTCGATTTATAATATTTTAATTAGACTTTTGTGTTTGTTTTTGGTGAATTGAGTTAGTTTGTGGAATTTTTTTTGTGTGTGCGTGTGATTGTAGCGATTTTCGCAAGATTGGAAGAAGAGAAAATAATGTGGAGAAATCGAAGGCATTCGTAATGCGAATAGACGATGTCGAGATGAATGAATTCGATGATGATGGAACTGAAGCTGGAAGCTTGGTACCATCCAGTCGATTTACGTTTACTGATATGTATCTCGGGTATTGTTTCCAAATTTTAAATAAAGTATATGTAATGTAGTTGTGTGTGTGCCCGTTTTCGTTTGCTAGGATCATTCCATGATTAGTTACAGAGATGTTGATTGTTATGTTGGTGTTGATGGTTGAATTTGAGAAATATGTATCAATTTTGTAATCTTTTTCAGGTTAGTGATCAGTGACAATTAGAAATCGATGGTATGAGTTGAGGCAATTGTTGATCAAGAATAATATTGGAAGATTAATATGTTAAACTATTGTTTTATTAGAAAATATTTAAATCTTCTTTGGACAACAGATTGCAAAGATAGTGTTCTAGTGCAATATTTACTAAGATGCTTAATTCTTCTAGTGAAAGTGACGATTCAGACAACGAACAAATGCACCAAATGCAAGTTCCTTGAGGTGACGCATGAACACCAGCTCGGCGTTAAGGTTTGTTCTTGCTTATATCTGGTTTGACTTTGTACCCCTAGAAATTTTGCTAAAATGCCTAATATGTTATATATAGCATCAAAAATTTTTTAAAATCTCACATGTATTAAATGTGCTCTTAGATCAATTTATGTAATGTGCTTGCTTCCATTTTTAAAATGCAATTTACTCATGTCTAGTGTTCATAAACCATGAAGCTTCATTTTAAAGTCATTTAGCATTTCTTTTCAATTCGTTGGACTCTCTCGGAAATTTATTTTACTCCCTACATTCAAGGAATGTTGCATTGTTGCAGCTGATATCCGCCACATGCCCTCCAAATTTCTTAGTTACCTGATTTTTATCTCTGTCAAATTCTCTGGGTTGCAAGCTATGTTAAGTCAAAAGTCATATATAATCTTCTGAAAGCACATCAGAAGGTGAAAAAATGATGAAGCAAAGCATTTTATGTAGTTCCCAAATTTTTTTTTTTTTTTTTTTTTTTTTTTTAAAAAAAAGAAAATTTAAATGCAAAATATATGTTGAATATCTTATTGTGTAATATAGTTATATAGGCTAAGAAGCTGTTTCTCTCATAAAGATTAATTTCTTAGGAAATGATAGATGGTGTTTGGTTGAGTATCAATAGCTCCACTAACCTAGGGGGACCTTAGCAAGCAACCAACTAACTTCATATTCTTTCCACTCCCTAGGATTTTCACTTCCCATGTATTTTGATGTCAACCAAACAAGTACTCTGTCCTTGTTCAAAATTCGTACAATGTTATATAATATTATAAAGGCAATTTTAGTCAATTTCTTTGTGTTTTTTTTTAAAAAAAAAAAATCAATTTCTTTGTTTCTTACATTCATGGACTTAAGCCTAATATAACATTTATTTAAGAACATAAGGAGCATATATTTTTTGTTTAGAATCTTAATAAATACTCTATTTTCGTCTTGTGGGTGTGTGCTCAATATATGAATAAAGATTCATTTTCTGGAACTTCACACCTTCCAGTATAAAAGAATGCAAGTTTTCAAACGCAGCCTTGAAAGGTGTGGTATCAGTCTGCCCTTGTGCGATTCCTGCTGAAGCATATACTTTGGGGGGGGGGGGGGTGCAGGGGGAACGATTTCAAAGCAGACTCCCCTTTCATTAGATAGAGAACTTATAAATGTTGCTTTTTAAGGAAATTAATGTGCTCCATAAGATAGTAAAGATGCCACTTAGGTTCATTTGTAAATTTCCTTTTTTGGGAAAGAGGGATTAAGATTCTTTTTGGGGGCAGAAATAAATGGTTCAAAAAAATCTGACAGGAGGAAATCAGGAACCAATTAGCAGCATTGGAGACGCAGTTGGTGGCTGAAAAGGAGAAATCTACATCAGCCCTTGTTCAAGTTGAGAAAAACATTGACGTTAGACGGCAAATGGACAGAAAACTGGATTTGCATTACCAACGCAAGATGTAAGATGCCATTTAGATTCATTTGTACTTTTTCTCGAGTGTTGTGGACCTTGTAGGTTCATCCCTTTTAGATGCTTTAGCATTGGCTGTATTTGAACCCACCTCTGAGGTTGTTATGGTTCAAGGAGTAGATGAAGCCCCCCCCCCCCCTTCCCCCCCGCGTGCGCCCCCCAAATCTGTTTTTTTACTCATTTACATATGTCGACTAGTCTACTTAGCTTTCTCTTGTTTGACTGGTTTTTTTTTTTTTTTTTTTGGCAACCATTGCAGTGCTGAAGCTCTTGATGATCATTTGACAGCCATTCAAAGGGATCATGAGCACAGATCACAGTTAGAAGAAAGAAAAATAAGAGATGATGCTGCTGTTGAAGAAGCCAAAAGAAAAGAGAAGGCTTTACAAGAAGAAAAGTTGCGCCAACAGAAGGCCAAGGAAGATCAAGAGGTTTGTAAACTTAACACTGTCATATATACAATAGCCTAAAAAGAAGCAAGAAAGGTCAGAAAAGTGGGGGTAAAAGTTGGGAGATACTAGAGAATGGATTTATTATTTATTACAATTAGTGAAGTACTAAATTAGATTAAGGGGATTTCTGTTTCACTTTGGTAATTGAATGGACCATTGTCACCTTCTTTTCTGTTTTTGGGCTTCTGAAACCCAAACAAACAACTCTTGCTGTTTTTTTTAATTACTTCACTGTAAGCCACATATTGCAATTTCTGATTTTATATTGTGAAGGACTTCCAAATCTCAGTGCAGTTCCATGCATCACTTGTTGGATGTTCCTATGGGAAATTGGGAATCAAGTCAGTCAACCTGGGTTGGCTTCTAATGATGTGTTGCACCCTGAGTACAAACTTTTTCCGTCAAATTTGACGGAATTCTGGTCGTCTTATGATGCCTGCTGCATTCTAATGTTCATCAAGTATTCTTTCACCTAAAGTAGGTACTTTGGACTTTGGAGTATATCATAACGTTCAATAGAGATAGCTGCCCTTGAAGCATATAATGTACTCTTAGTTCTGTCTACATTTGATTGGTTTATTTATTTATTTATCTATTTATTTACACCCTCTTTCCTTGTTTGGTGCAGGCTAGACTTGAGGCTGCTAAAAGAGCTGAAGAGGAAAGAAAAGCTGCACAAGAAGCTGAAAAGTTGGCTAAAGAAGCTGCAGATAAACTGAAAGAGGAAAATTCGAGGAAGGATTATGTTAATGCACAAAAGGCTGCATCAACCACATCTGCTGCAAATGTTTCTAAGGAAATGAAGTCATCAGGTATTACCACTTGTTTAGTTTTTTTTTAACAATCTTACATGTCTTTGTCTTGTTGGGGTATAAAGCGTACTCTCTTTCATTGTTTCTGTCTTGATAAACTTAACTACTTAAGCATTTACTTTGATAGTTGAAATTATCTGCTGGCCGCCTAGTTTAGAAGGGCAAAGGCCACAAGGAGGTTCAATGATTATGTTCAAAGCTCTCGCATGACTGACCCTTATGTGTCTTGTATTGGTTGGCTCATCTTTCAACACTGTGTGGTTATATCCTCATGGTGTAAAAACCTGTATAATTCCTCTATATATTTTTTACTTACGTTGTCAGCAAGCTTTAGAAAACAACCTTGAAGTATCCAAGTGTAACTAAAGAAGTGAAATGTTGTAGACATTTAATAAAGGAATTCACTCTTCCATGTTCAAGGCTGTAGGCATCAGTATCTCAGGGTTTCATTGCTGGATATGTAGAATGTGTTAACACCTGTTAGAGAGATGAAGAAAATTTTTGGTTACTGTGGAAATTTTACAAACTATTTTTTTCACTCATTCTCTTCCATGAGAATGACTTTGTTTTCTGTACTTCTAGCTTGCATTGTATTGATTCTTCATTCAACAACACTCGTCACCTAAATTTTCTTTTAACCCAATCAAATGATCCTTCTGATTGTAGGTAATTTAGTTAGGGCTGCAGTAAATGCTTTGAAGCTTGAGGAGCGAAGGCTACAGATTTACAAAGAATTAAATGATAGGAACCAGTTAATCATCTCTGGTTCTCATGCGGTAATGCCTGTACCCAAGATATTTTCTAACAGTTGAAGATCAGTTTTTTGTTTCATGTTCTGCACTTTTGCTATTGCCCTCTTTTCATCGGGTTGCTCCTTTTTTTCTTGTGTGTGTGTGTTGAGGGGGGGGGGGGGGTTGAGATGTATGGTTTGACCGTAGGCTATACTTCAAGTATTTAACCCAGAAATATCTCATCTATATATGATGCAATTTAATTGAAATATATGTTGTTCCTCTACAGAACTTCGTCCCCAAAGAACGGGATATTAAAAGGACAATAAGACAAATAACTGGGACAATAGACAACGTAAGGTATGTCTTGCTCTGTTATTGCTGTTAACTTTGGTATGCTGAAGTGGTAGAAGCCGAGCACAAAATTTATATGTGCTTTTGTACATTGTGATTATTATTTATGTGTATAATTTTGAATGTGCATCTATATTTCTTGGACATGACTACTAGTTTGCGAGTTGGTTTCTGATTAGAAATCAAATTAGCTACTGAATGAAACAATCCGAGAAATATAATTGTAAGTTGCCTGATCAACCCTACTATGTCCCATAGGTAATTTGGAGTAATATGGTTATAGTTACTTTGATGTTTTAAAGACTTTTTGATGTAACTCCATTCACCCCACAATAAACTTCACATATGGGTTTTGCTTGAAGGTTAAGAATAGAGATTAGAGATGGTATAAAGTAAGAGATGGTGTGGGAATTTAGAGAGAATAGAAGGAGATAATATTAGCATTTGTATTTACAATGGAAATGTTAAGTTTTTTTAAAGGCGGAGGGATGAAGTATGTTTGGTTTGAAAGAATTCCTTACCTTTGAGTCTTTGATTTGAGGTACATTATATTAGTGACTTTTGCTGTACTTGATTACTTTGGTTGAAAGATAACGTTTGTGAAAGATAAAGTTATTTTTTTTCAATTTAATATGCTTGGGTTCTATGTTAAACTAAGGATGTATCACCTAAGTATATGACTCCTTGTTTCTTCCCTTTACAATTATCTGCTAGCGAGGACTTGAAATCAATCAAAATAGAATTAAGTTACTTTGCTACTGCTACTGCCTTGGAATTGAAACATAGGTCATTCCGTTAGTGAAAAGCTCTTCTATAAAAGATTTTTAACTTACCCGGCCGCGAAAAGCTGTTCTTTGACCTGTAATTTAAATAACACCATGACATCCATCAGAGGTCGTTATGTGAGTAGCTATTACTATCTTTCCTTAAGGCTGTTACGTGTATATATAATATGGAAACTCCTGTGGAGAAACTTTAGACTTAAGGCTGTTACCTGTAATTATCATGAGATGTGTTGTGAAATACCATGCAGGTTTCGTTGATTTGGTTTTTGAAAGATTAGTTTCATAATAATTTTTACTTCTCTGGGTTGATTAGAGGTGTGTGGGGACTGGGGTTCATTAATCCCCTGGGACTTCCATGGGCTATGGTAGTATTCATAATGAATTGCTGTAATCCTGGCAGTTACCCTGTTTGCTTGAATTGGCACATTGTATGAATGTTTTTTGACTTGACCGCAGGATCCAATATAAAATTATTGTTCTTAAATGATGTGTAATCGTATTGAGTGTTGCACTTAATAACTGTTGGCATTTATAGTGTCGATTTGATGAATGGACATGCTCTTAAGAATTAACTTTATGCAGATCCAAAGCAAATAAATTGGTGGAGATTCTCAACGACCCAGTTTGTCCTCAGTCTGTTGCTGTGGCGATGTTTGCGAAGGAGGTACTACCTAGAATTTGATCCTTTAAAACAATTGCTTCCATAAAGTTCCTCCCTAGCTTGCTCATCTTTTTTTCTTTTTTTCTGGTAACCCCTTATGCTGTCATAAGCTATTTAACAGAAATAATTCCTTGATGCCCGTGATAATGAGTGTGGTTTATTGATCGTATTGATTCAAAAACTCTAATTTTGGAATGATATTTGCTATCACTTTGGGTATTATGTCACTAAAAAAACTGACAAATACAATACAAGATTGGATTTTAAGCTCATAACTAATAACTATGTGTTGCATATTTGCTGTTAAATCCATTTGCTTTATCCTAGTGAGCATTAAGTGTAAAATTGAGCTGAATCTGTTTGTTTTCCTTCTCATCCTTGCAGCAATTTATATTGATGTTATAGGCCTTTGATAGTTTGATACTCGTTAACCAAGTGGCAGACACAGCTACTAAATAACTATTAATTCATGAATTTTAAGCCTTAGAGATATCTAACAGTGAATTACTAAACTTTCAGAGGTATTCCTAGTGTAACTTGTCTATATCCTTCTGAAAAAACAATTTTGTAATAGAACTGAACCTGCTCTATCAGTAGTCTTTGGCCATTGTTAGAATTCTGTTTTCTGATGTGTTAGCTTTATTATGTATGTGCATCCATCATATCTGAAAATTCTTCGATTCTCCCTCCATGGTCATCTTGTACATACGCTGATGCACTTTCTTATGTTGATGTACAGGTCATCTCTATTTTTGAAACAACAAGCCCAAAGTTCAACAGCTCTGCTTTTGCATGTGGTCATGTTATTGTCTATGTTAGTTCACAGGTACTGCTTGGTTGCTGGTGCTGCTTATGTTGATACTTCCTCCGTTTTTTAATACTTGTAACACACTTTTTCACGGTATTTAAGAAAAGTGGGGTTCACATGATTTAATACACTTAAAAATGGGGTGAGAGGTTGTTAGGAGTATAATTTAGTGGGCCATGAGGCTTAAATAAGGGAAATAGTACAACTTTTCCCCAAATAACTTTCCAATTATAGTGTGTTGCAAGTATTGTGACATTTCTATTTTGGGGAAGTGTTGCAAGTATTAAAAAACAGAGGAAGTATATATTCTTTGGGTATTTTCTGTGTAATGAACCTGATCACTTCTCTGGAAAATTATACATCCGAAAATGGGAAACTAAGTTATGAGAAAAAACATTGCCTTTTCTCATCTTGGATCACCTTCAATAAACACGGTTTAACTGAGTCATATGTCTTTTCGACATCACCATGCTATTGCTTAGAGGGGCTAGGTGAATCTTCACAAACCCCTCAAACTGGTATAACTAGAATTACATGGCCAGACCTACAGCTGACTTAACAAAGCGGATCAAGTTGCTTATTTGGTTTGGGATATTAGGGTAAGGCAGAGGGATTATTAGGGTGGTTAAACCTTTTTCCTAGGACTTGATCTGTATTATGCAATTTTTTCTTTATTTTGTATTTGTTTATCTAATAAATCAGGTCCCAGCTGTCATGGATTGTCTGCTTGCTGAGTTTCACAAGGCTTGTATTTACACTGTTCCGAAGCATAAAATGTACTCTAAGGTAACCATTGAGCTTAATTTATGTTTCGATTCTTAGTGTAAAACTAGCCTCTTCTGTCTTTTCTTCGGTCTTTTTGTTATTATTGTGTTTTTCCCTTCTGAGCTCCTTGCCTAGCTCTATAATACTTCAACCATATTAAGAATTAATTTCCACATATCCAATATTCCATCTTATGTCTTTACCAATTTACATTGACTGGTGCATTTTTCCCATTTGATTTGAAAAGTCGCTGCATCAATTGTCTGCATTGACTACAAGCCTATGCCCCCCCCCCCTCCTCCTTTTATAGGCATTTATTTAGCTGGTCTTTCTAGGCTCATGCTCGTAGATTTGACGAAGGTTTACTTTTACCCTGGCTGTCACAAATCTACCTACAGTCTCCTTTATTTGGCCTAGGACTTGTAGTAACTCTGTCGGAGATAGATATGTCTGGAGGTGTGAGACTTAGCAGAAGATGAATGGAGGAATTTCCTATAACGATTGTTTTACACCAAGGATCTGTGGTCCTATTACTCTGCAACAGGTCTGGATGAAGTAATTCGTCAGAGATGAGAAATATTGTGGTGTTTAGTTTTTGTTGATGATATCATTTTGGTGGATGAAACTAGAGATGGGAGGTTTATATGATGGGGACTAAAGCTGGAATCTCAAGAATTTAGTCAAAGGAGTAAAACTGAGTTTGTTCAAAAAAAAAAAAAAAGTAAAACTGAGTGCACGGAATGCCATTTTTGTATTGGGAGAGGCAAAGTGAAGATATTGTGACATTAAAAGTGAAGAAGCTACCTGTTATTGTATGTATCAAGTACAAATGGTTATTAAGTGATCGGTGTGTGCCTTTTTAAGTTATAATTGAATACAAGTATTAATGGACAACAACTAGATCAGCACTATTATATGGGCTAGAAATTTGAGCATTTAAGGTGCATATTAAGAAGATGATTGTAACAAAGATGTGTTGAGATAGAAATGTGGAAACACCTTGGGTATAGAATAAAAAATGTAGATGTTTGGAGGGAAGTTGGAGTTGCAGATACTGAGGATAAGATGAGAGAGAATCAATATTGAGGATAAATTTGCCATTAAGGAAGGTGGGGTGTTAATGGAGATTTCAAATGTTAATAAGACTTGGTTGGAGGAAGATTAAAATGATTTGTGCAAGAGCTAGTAATGGCTAGAAGCGAATGGAGGAAGAAGATTTATGTGGACAGCCACAAGAGATAGATTATTGGTTCGTGCAACCAACTCCATCTATTTGGGGATAAGGCCTTGTTTTGTTGATGTTATTACTTGTTTGTCCATCTTTAATTGGTTTAACAGTGATGCAAGTCTCTGAAATGTCTAAATTGATATCTTTCTCTCTTATGTACACAATTTAGGCTGCATTTGAAACGGAAGAATCTTATTACAAAGCCATTGGCTATCGAGAAGAAAATGGGAAGACAGAGACAACAGATAGCTATCTGGATCGGATCGAATCTCTGATGAAACTATATGGGGCTCTAGTTCAGGTTTGCATAATTGTATTGCTTTCCAAGAAGTTGATTTTGCTTTCAATTCCTCACATTACAGTCAACTAAATCATGTGTTTTTTTTTTCCTTTTTATAGACGGTTACTCAAGGTGTTCAGAACAAGCATGGCTTGGAAGAAGGTTGGGCTTGGCTTGCACGGTTCTTAAATGTTCTCCCACCTAATCGATACACTGCTGTTGCTCTTGAGGCTTTTCTAGAAGTAAGTTGTCGTATATTCAGGATACTTGATCTTGATGCCTTTGATATATCCTGATATATTTTGTCATGTACACAGATGGCAGGGTTTGCTCTCCATAGAAAATACAAGTCCCAGTTTATAAAGGTACTAAATTCCATTTCAAGGGAGTTTGTGCCTAAACTGAGAGCTCGAGACCCTAATGCTGGTTCAAAGATAAGTAGGATTCAGGAATACATAGAATCACAGAAGTTTCTACAGGAGCCAACAGGATGGCGTCTTCAGGGTGCTTTGCTGTTGCATACTTCTGTTCCAGAAGCAGATCGAAGACAAGAGCAATATCACCATGCTCCAAACAGACACTTTACCTATCATAGGTAGCTTCTAATGGTATAGCAGTTGCTTTGAAATAATAGTGTATTATAGAAGGCAATAATGGTACGTCTAGTGGTCTCAATTTTTTGTATTTGCATTCTATGTTGGATGTGGTAGATTGGGTTGTAAAACTCTGTACTTAGATGTCTTAGAAGTACCCCTTTTTTAGTGAAAGAAATGTCCCATTAAATTATATAGGTCTTCTATGATTGACTCTTCATACATGTAGTTCTCATATTAAAATGTTGAAAATTAAACACACTTCATCTACAAACAAAAGTTTATATGCTTTTTGTATACATGTTGGGTGAATAAATAGTAAGAAAATTGTGTTCAGTTGATGGAGGTGAAAAAAAAAAACTCCTTGATCTACTGATTGATTTGAAAGTCCAAACTTAGAAGAATCAGTTCTTTGTTATACGATAGATAATGAAAGAAAATGGTATTTACATCAATGTGGTTTTTGTCAACAACCAGCAAAATTTACTGCAAACAGGGCATGAAAATTATTAGGATCTGCAGAGAGAAGAAAATTGCCATAAAGAACAGATAACAAAGATACTTTAAAATACTTTCAATACCATGCCAATCAATTGCAGCTGATTTTCCCACCAAAACCCAAATCCTACAAATTCAATGCCACACAGCGCATCAGCATAACCCATTTGGTCTTGGGGGCGAATTGCAGACAGTTTCTTCACTCTCACATAACTGAATCGCCAGAAACAGATTTCCTCCATAACGATGACAGTTCGGATGGCTTTGAAAACCAATAAGATACCACCTCTAAAATCTAATGAACTACTCAAGCTAGTAATACCACCTAAAAGACTTCAGAGATGCTGAAGATCTTTAGTACAGCCTTATTCTGGTCTCAATAGAACGACGACATATTGGGCAAGAATCCAGAAACTCTCCACAATCACAGCATGTCTGAATGAAAGGATTAAGGACTGATATAAGTAAATATCAACGGATAGATTGAATAAAACATGACAAGATATGCTTTTGATACATTACCTGATGCCCACAACCAAAAGCCATATTCTTAGGACTGGTGATGCATATAGGACAAAGCTGTTCCAATAAAAGAAAACAGAAGATCAATCTTTTCTTATGCGACAGAAAGGCGAAAATTATGTTACTACTAATTTTATAAAATAAAAATTTTAAATAACAAAAATTATTAAAAAATAAAAAAAAAAAAAAAAAAAAAAAAAACAAAACAAAAGCTAACCTGATTTTCATTAGCAGAAGTTGAGGGTGGAGTGGTGCTACTATAAGGAGAAGCTGAGGGTGGTGCTGTGCTACTGTAAGCAGGGGTTGAAGATGAACTTGTGCCAAGTCCAGCTCCTGGATAAGGATAAGTTGGAGCGCTCTTCTGAAAACTGTTAGCGCGAGAATATGATTTTGAGCCACTGCGTCCAGCAGCAGCATTGTATTGAGGTGGAGGAAGGCAAACCCTCTCCGGGCAATGTCCAGTTCTTCGGCTGCTCCGTATGCAGAAAATCAGTCAACGATCCTACTTTGTAAGGTATAAAATGATATTTGAAAAGAAAAAAAAAGGGGGGGGGGGGGGAGGAGGGAAGATTATTACCCTAATATGCCGTGTTCAAGGGTAGCTTTATATTGGGAAGGTATTTCCATCAAGGCTGAGAGCGCAAATTCTGTTTGCTTTTTCGATGGGTCCACATTCTTCGACATGATTTGCATGAAATTCACAAACTATCCACAGCAAATATTCTAAAAATTACTTGCAATGCCAAATAAGAGAAGAAATGCATCATCAATTTACCACGGGATTACCCATTGCTTACTTGGAAATTATCAAATGCCCGAGCAGGAATGTTATCATCAAACTCTCTCATCATGTCCCATGGGCCATCTCCCACTCCCACCAGAACTATTGACAGGGGATATGCACTAAAATTAAAAAGACATAAGAAAGAGTTAGGCAGATTTCCGCAAAAGAAAAGAGTAAAAGAGAATAGTTAGGCGAAGAAACAACAATCTGTCCAAACCTACCTTGCTTGAACTATTGCCTCAATAGTCTTTTGCTCTTGTGGGCTAAGGTTGCCTTGCTGCGTGTCAACACTCCTTGTCACCTGATGTTGTACACCAATTCATAACTATCAATGGAAAGTAGCTCTACAAAAAGGCAGGAAAATCTCTAGAATTACCTAAATCCTAATATATGACACGTCACAAAGTAAAAACAGTGAACCAAGCTAAGGAGAGTACAAAAATAAAAAAAATTATAAAAATGAGTAACAATTTTGCCAATAGAAGATTATATAAAGAAGCTGACGTGACAGATTGATTTTCCTAGTGAGTTACGTTGATACCTTACGAGCATATAACGATATGGAACCTCACCCTATCCTACATTTGCAAAATATTAATCTCTGGCCCTAATGGTAAGATTCATTCAGATTTCCATTTTCTTTAATGTTCCATGGGCACAAGATATGATGAGTAGATACAAAATTACAGCCTACCAGATAATTTCTTCCCCAACAGGTGTTTGTGATGAGGCTTCTAGCAAAATCTAGGGGTATTAATATTGAACTTTCTAACAGCTATATACCAATCAACATTGAAAGGTGGTTAATGCCTTTGTCTTAGAAATATATGCGAAGTTTTGCTCCAAAAAAAAAAAAGAAAAGAAATACATACAAACTTACAAAGTATTAGACTAGACAGAGTTTCTCATAGTGAGAAGCACCACCTTTGGGTTCTTTTTCAAGGAAAATAGACGAAATGTAACTGGAGGTGCAAATGGTAATGTGAAAACTAATGCTGAATAACAGAAAAGTGTACAGGGGTAGCTAAGTGGCAACATAATACAAGAGGCTACAATATTTTTGCTAGGGGTGATTATGGACTTTAGTTAAAATATAATATAATGTCACCAACTTAGATAGAGATTTAGGGATTGGAACAACTGCTCCATTCCCATCCTCCACACAGATTCAGCTTCATTCTCAAAATGTTAAAGGCATAACATTAAGATGAAAAACATATTTCTTTTTTTTTTTTTTTAATAGTAGATGAAAAATATACTTTGATATAATCATTGTTTGGTAGTCTAGATATAAACATCCATGTCGAATTTTTACATAAATACAAGCATCCACGTGACCACATCAAGACCTCTTCAAAGAGGGTAAGAAATGAACTAACCTTATCAATAATCAAATCTTAATAAGACCTAATTAGTTTAATTTTTTTTATTTAAATTGTCATACTTGTACTAACTCTATTCATTGTATTATCAAACATTAATTTGACATATACATTTATCAAATTTGGCTTATTATGAGCTAATTATAAGACTTTATTGGCTAAAGATTCATAGATTCTTAGCATTAATCATAAGGAAGTAGTCAATTGGGCTCTACAAAAGTAAAGAGCTGGTAGCCTGGCAATGTTTATCTGGCTTTACTTTAACTAGATGTAGTAGCATTGTGATCCTCAGAAGGTATCACCATTCATGAAAAGAATATACAGAAAAGAAATAGCATGGATAACCTGTCCATCAGCAATAATCAGCAAAACATGATACTGTCCACCACTTTGCTCGACAATTGCCATGGCCATTTCAATAACTGGAGCAAATGAGGTTGGCCCTGCCATACAAGATCAAGGAATATGTAAACTAGGTAGTCTATTTATTACTAACTTCGATATAGATGCTTCCTTTAATCACCAATTGAGGAAAAACAGTACTAACCAGCTAGCCGTAGTTGGGGAACCAACTCTCTATAGCGTGAGAGAACTTCCTCAAATCCTTGGCAGCATCTATCTTCATCATAAAAACTAAAGACATCTTGGTCATGGGTAGATGCTGCAGAGACAATTAAAAAGTGAGTTAATTGCACCCAGATAAAATATCACCAAATACTTAGCCACCCAGCTTGTGATTATAATTACCATCTCCAAATCCATAACATGGGATCAAATTATCCTCATCGAATGCAGATAGAGTTTTTCCAATAATTGATATTGCTTCCTCATAGGGATTCGGATCATTCCCAATGTGATGTAGACTTCGCCTATTGAATGACTTAGCACCTGTTTTCAGCCAAAAAAAAAAAGGAAAAAAAAAAAAAAGAATGAGGCATAGTGCAATAAGGATGAAAAAATCTAAGCTAAAAAGGATGAAGTTAAACCTGTCCATTCATTGCTCTTTGTAAAGTCAATGCCAACAATTAGATTGGAAGACTCAAGCCCTGCCTGTGCAAGTGCTGCCGTAACCTACAAAGATGTTAAGATGTCATTTATCTCAAACACTTCAGCAAAAAGTTTAATGTCCTGAAAAAAAAAAAAAAAAAAAAAAAAGTCAATCTAATTTACAATAGGTTTTTTTTTTTTTTTGAAGAAATTTACAACAGGTTTGTCAGCAAACAAAGTTGAAACAACCGCTACAGACCTACAGTCCAGTACCTCTATTATTCTCAATGAACAATCATTTCTTATCTTCCTCTTATTTTCAATGGTAGTTCATTTCCAAGTTTTAACATCCAAGAAAACCTAATAATTTTGAAAATTCAAGCACGTGTGTCTAACAAAATAATATAAAATCTCTAAGTGAGGTATTTAATCTATCATGAATTATTTTTTCTGCCAATTCCAAAATAACAATAACTATTTGTAGAAATTGAACAAAAGTTTCATAAAATAAACCACTAGGCCTAACATCATCCAAGGTACTATAGTTATCTGCAATCCTTGAATACTTTCTTTCCAACGTCTTCTTAGGCCGTGTAGCACTAGGAGGAGGAGCATAAGTCTGAGGCAATGGTGAAGGAGCGTACTGAGGATGATGAGATGTATAAGGCGTTTGTGGTGCGTAACCTGGCTGAGATGAATATGGAGAAGGTGGTGGAAACCCATAGTTTTGGCTAGAAGCCCGGTCATATGATGACATTGACCTCCTCCTTGACGAACTTTTATTTCCCATTTTTACTTCGATTATACCACTTCTCAAAATGACATACACCAAAGCAACCAAAAATGCAAACCAAAGCAACATAAAAACCAACTTTTAGCAAAGACTCTTTCCTCAATCAGTAAAATAACTCCTAAAAAGGAGAATGACAATGAACTCCACGTGGAATTCAAATCTTTTAACCCGACAATTTCCACCACAACGACGCAGAGCACCCTAATTTAAACCTGAACAACGATGAATGACAACAATCAATCAATAATCTCAGAATCAATCAAATAGACCAAAACCTCGAAAGCGACGGAAATGGTAGATAAACACAACACAGCAAACTTCAACCAGCACTTTTCTAGGTCTTTTTTTAATTCAACATAAAAGTCTGTCTTCCTCACCTAAAAGTTTAAAATCAAATCAACAACAAATTAAAAAATTCAATAAAAATCTTAGTAACATCAGAAACTCCCAAGAAATTACAAATTCAATGAAATTTACACACGTATATAAAAATCAAAACCTAAGGTAGTCAAATTAAACCTTAATTTAAAATTTATGTTCACATTTCAAGTTAATTAGTTTTTTGCACGTAATCTCAATTTCTTGGTCAACATATCTACTCTCTGCTACTACTAATCGTACAAAAAATTAAAAAAAATTACAATGCGCTTAGATTAGAATTAAAATAATTTAACTCAAGAATATTCTGAAAATCAAAATGCAATTAACAAATAAAAATGTCGAAATATAATTGGATAACATAATAAAAACAACAACAAAAAATTAAAATAATATTCAGTCATAATCATAGATTCGCAATCAACAGATTCAACACAGTGTTTAATTACATCAAAAATAAATTAAATAATCACGAATTATAAACAACAAATTATGAAAACTAAACCTCAAAAAAAAAAAAGTAGAAAATTAAAGCGTACCTTAATCCAGTGTAATTGAAGCAGAAATTAGAGAGAAAAATTAGAGGAGAGAGAAAATGATTATTTTTGTTGTTGCTGTTGTTGTTATTGTTGTTGGAGTGGTTTTTTTAGGAGGAGAGAGAGTCAATGGGATTCTGAATGCCAAAAAGACTTAAAAAATTTTAGTTTGTCTATTTTTTGAAAGTTAATTTGATTGATTGATTATAGTAGTAATACGGAATAAATAAGAAAAAGACATTCGTAATTTAATGTGTAGCGTATATAGTTTGTTTCCCGCTGTATTTTTTTTTGTTGTGTTGTAGATGAGGAAGAAGCTTGGAAACTATATTTATGACTTTAGATTTTTTTGGGGTAAATTTGTGTTACGTGCTAAAAGTGTTCTGGTTTTTTATTGGGTTATAAAGTGTTTTGGATATACTATGAATTAGTTTGCATGTGTGACATGTTTATGTTTTGATTTTTTGAACGATCTTATCTTAAATAATTATATGAGTATTCTTTATACAGTGTATATGTATACTAAAGAATGATATAATACGGAGTATAATGACTATAATCTATTGATAGAAATATATCTTAATCCTGGTAACTTAGTAAGAGAATATTTTGTGTATACTCTCTATCATCCACATTTGTCATTGGACGAAAGTAGATAAGTATTTACTTTTTTTTTTGTCTTTGGAGGTCGCAAATTGCAAATCGCAGATATCATAATCGTTGTTTGTGTACCCAATCGCAAATTCGACGCCATTGGTGGTGCGATTGAATCACAAATCCGACGTCATTAGTGGTGTGATTCAATCGCCAATCTGACGCCATTGGTGGTGCGATGCAGTTTTTCAAGTGGAGTTTTTCGGGTTCTGCAATTTTAAGAGAGAAGAAAAGTGAAATAATGGAGAAAGGAGGAATAATAATGCAGCCACACGAAACATTAATGCACCCAATAGTTTGTATTTAGTAAGTTACTTTACTATACCAAAAATATATATATATATATATGTTACGGAGTAAAACAAATTATTTTATAAATAAGTTGTTGGGATTCTATTTTTATTTGGAACATTATTTAGCTTTGCTAGGCCCTCTCTTACCTGCCATTCCTGCCAACATGAAGGGGACCCAAAACAATAAGGTTAATTTTAATTATTTAATTTTGTACAAGTAGCTTAGTGAGAGTAATGAGCAGTATACACTATACTTGTGAGTAGTGACGCACCAACTTAGTGGCTTTATCACTTTATGCATGTTATTGTTATTTGTCGGATAAAAGGAGTTGGCCTAAGAAATGCACTGGAAATTGCATGTAAATGGGCGTCACTTTCATTATTCACTATGTGGAGAAAATCCAAGGGTTAAGCAAAAGGAAATGCAAATTAAGTGTCAAATTTGTAAATAAAATAATTTTATTAAATATGTGCTCTATATTTATTTATTGATTTTAGGACAATTTTACTTTTGCTACCATCAAAACACATGCATCTCATTTTTGCTACCCCTTAAAAAAAAAATTACTACCACACAAAAACAACTTTGTTAAAATCTGCTACCTTTTAACGGAATGGGTTAGGCTTCTATTAGGTTTATTAAAAAAAAAAAAAAAAAACTCAGCCAGCCACCTTCCCCCTCCCTTTCCTCCACCTACGCAGCCCACCACCTTCAATTGCCCAGCCAGCCCCTTCCCGTCAGCCAGCCTCCCTCCTGCCGACGACCCTACCCCACTCCCTTCCCCCCCCCCTCGCAGCCTACCCCCCTCCTTTTTCCCCTTCTTACTGCCCCGACCCCCACTCCGAACCGGAAACCACCCCCTTCCCCATTCGCCCCACCGGAATCGGGCCCCCTCCCTATTCCTCCACCAAAATCGTTCCCCCCCTTCCCCTACCCTTTTCGGCCACCCCTAACCCTAACCCACCACCCCTAAACCACCATAAGCGAAACCCTAAAACCCATTTAGGTTGGTTTCGGGCTTGTGGTTTAAGGTTAGAGATGCCGGTTTTTGGGTGGGGGAAGGGGAGGGGGGTCGATTTCGTTGGGGGAATAGGGAGGGGGGCGATTCCGGTGGGAGAATGGGGAGGGGGTGGTTTCTGGTTCGGGGTGGGGGTCAGGGCAGCAAGAAGGGGAAAAGGGAGGGGGTGGCTGCGTAGGTGGGTGAAAAGGATTGGGGTGGGGTCGCCAGCGTTGGCCCAAGCTTTGGGCGCCGGTCGCTGCCGGAGGGAGGGGGGAGGCTGGGCAGTTGAGGGTGGCTGGGTTTTTTTATTTTTACTTTTTAAATTTTTTTAATTTTTTGAATAAACTTAACGGAACTCTAACGGATTTTGTTAAGTGGTAGTGAAATTTAAATTATGTGATTTTAGGTGGTAGTAAAATTAAAAAAATTAAAAAATAATTTAAGGGGTACAAAAGTGAGATGCATGTGTTTTGGTAGTAGCAAAAGTGAAATTGTCCTTGATTTTATTACGAACATGTCATACTAACTGAACTAATAATTAAGAGTTTTTCAGAGTGAGGTATAACTCAAGTAGTTAAAGCTTCTCTCCCGATTTCAAGTGATCCTTGGATCGGTTCTCATCACTCGCCCTTTTAGCTCTCTAGACACCCAAAAAAAAAAAAAAAAAAAAAAAAAAAAAAAAACTATTTATCTCCGTAAATAGCTGGGCCTTTCTACTACAAGTGTAGGTTGATCCAGTTTAAAATTAAATCACGATTTTAATGCAATAGTTGTACCGTGACTCAATTATTGAGCCAAGTCGTAACTCATAAAACCACACTTTGAAATTTCTCAAGTAGGGGGCCAGAGTTTAGGGATTAAGATGATACATGTTTGTTTGATGTAGAAAGCGTATAACAAAAGCTAATCAGTCCATTTTTTAAGTTTTGAAAGTGAAACAACTTTGTTAGGAATACATTATGCGATTTTTGGCACTAATTTTGCTAAATCTAAAAACATATTGTACATCTACCGAAAGCAATCAAACAATAATTAAATAGTTTTATCCAGGGATGAGTGACATAACTGACATTAGTTACCTAGTCGTATTTCTTCCAAATTCATTTTGAGAAATAATCTTTTTTTTTTTTTTTTTTTTGGACACAAGAGAAATAATCTAAAATCTTCTGTATCTTTTATAAATTTAAAATTGAAAAGAATAATTTCCTCTTTGCCAATAATAAAACAATCTCTCTTTTAAATAAACTGAAAACAATCACACTTTTCACCTTCATCTGCTCAAAACAATCCCATTTACCTACAATTTATTTACCAAGATATATATATATATATATATATATATATATATATATATATATATATATATATATATATATAATCTTTCTCTTCCCACCTCCCCACCCTCTTCCATGACAGCACACCATGACCACCACCACTCCATAAAACTACCTCATCACAACCATCACCTGACCTCACACCGGCGAAACCATGTTTAATTAAGGGTCTTATTGGTTAATTATGTCTAAATTAGTCGAAAAGCTAGATTAGATAACATTTACAAAACTAATGCTACTTAAGAGAACTTAACAATAAAATTGTTACCAATCAGATAGAGGTGATCATTTACGGGCTTGGGCGGGAAACGGGCCGGGTTTATAGTTCTTACTTAGTTCAACGGGCTTAATCTAGCAAACCCAAGCCCTTTTATGCGGGCTTGGCAATTTGTACATACCCGCTCCATTAAACGGGCTGAGCTTGTTCGCGGGCTAACGGGCTTAAAATCTTAGTTCTTATTTTATTATTTTTAGGACTTTGTTCTAATTATTATAAACACTAAGCTATCTTTTTATTATTTATTTAGGTTACGATTATTTTGATTAAGTTGTTTTAAAAATTTCTTGATCACAAATGATAAAGAAATAAAAAAAAAATAAAAAATTGAAATCGTGGCATATGTAATTTGTGAAAATTATGAAAGAAGTTATATAATAAGTCTTCGATGATAAAATATAAAAAAGAAAAAATAGTTATTGCAGCTAATAAAAACTTAGAGTCCAATATACTTTCTTTGTATTTATTTTTTCTATAAATATGTATATAATTTAACTAACTAAAAAAATTTATTAAATTATTTTTTACTAAACAGACCGGACGGGCTAGCCTGCGGTACAAAATTGTCTTGTCCATATCCGCCCATTTAAATTAGCGGGCTGGGCCTAGCCCGTCCAAATATTCAATTTTTTCAAAATTGTTGTCCAAGCCCGCCCATTTTACGGGCCGGGTAGGGCGGGCTTAGCGGCCGTTCCGTCCATGAACAGTTCTACAATGAGAATGAATTAGAAAAAAGTACATTAATACTAATAAAGAGAAAAAAAAACCTTAAATTTATCGTAACCCTTATCTAAAAGATATTGTGTGAGGACTCACGATAAGAGGGATATAAGTTATTACACATTTTATAAAAGTTTTTGAACATTTCAACTTTGAAATTTACATACAAGAATATAAGTTCTTAAACATTTCAAATACGTTTTCAAAATTATCATACAAGTTAATGAAGTTATAGTATTGGTTCTTGGGTGGGTGGACTCGGCCAATAATTTGTGTTTCCTTAATATTCAATCATAAGTTATAGCTTATAAGCTTGAGGCTGCCCAGGTTTATCACCTTGATAAATAATTGGTAAAAGCGTCATTTTCAGTTGATAATGAAGGGTGTATGTAATTTGATAATTACAATTAACTAGATGCTGTTTTTGTTTCTCATCTCCATCTTCTTCGTATACTTCCAGCCATTGCACAACCATGGAGACTTTGTCTCTTCCCCACCCACCTTCATCTACTTTGCCTCCTTCTTCAAGTTGCTTCAATGGAGATTTCGCCAACCTCAACCACCACCATTTTTGGTGGCTTTGCCGCTAAATTAAACGAAATTCCTAAAGATAAAAGAGAGAAATAAAGGGTATGGTTAACCCTTAAGAGTAGGTGTTTATCGATTGCTTGTGAGCTTTCCTTCCCCCATTGAAATCTTCATTGAAGTTGGTCTTACCTTCTTCCTGAACAGTTCAATGTTTGTGAGTTTCACTTTCGTCAAATAACGCTGTGAAGAGTGTAGGAGTTAGTAATGCAACCAGAAAGGTTTATCTCAGACTTAATCGGGTTGGTTCGTCCGACCGAGATGGCGAGAGTAACTTCTTGGTTAGTTGAAAACTCATTATTGTACAATAATTCGCTACATGGTCGTGTACCTTGTACTATATGACTGTGTGATATACATGGTCGTGTACCTTAATCTACACGGTCGTGTGGCTTTGCAAATGAACCTATCTACACGATCGTGTACTGTCTTCTACATGACCGTGTGCGTCAAGTATTATTTGAAGTGGCTATCAGTTGGGCCTAGTTGGGCACAACATAAACTGATAGGTGGTTTGAATTTATTTGTTTCCTTATTGGAACTTTATAAATACAAACTAGAGCCTCTTCAATGGGA